GCCTGGGGGTTTGATTGAGCATGATGTCATTGTCAAGGGCCTCATTGAGGAACACATTGCATACCAAGGATTTTCTGCTTATGTTTTCAATGTGCATGTTTTTGGTCTTGTTTTTTATTATCATCATATTTCTCCATTTTTCTTTTTGTGTTTTTTTTTCTATCTTTCTTTCTTCTACTTCTTGCTTAGTTTTCTTAGATTCTTTTTTTTTTTTTTTTTTTTAAGAAAATAATAAATATTTTTTAGATGGTTTTTGGGATTAGTTAATTAATAGACTGTTATAGATTGACAACCAGACACAAATAGACTGATTTACATAGCGCACATGTGCACGCACGTACACACAGACACAATCACAAAAATGAAATGTATGAATGGAACACAATGATTTTCTGTGATATAAGGCTCAACCTGATAATCTACTTTACTTTGATAAGGAAATCGTTTCTCAGAGTGAGAACAGGTAGTTGGCCTTTCTTTCAGATCACTAACATAATTTGCATAGTAATGCTGTAGACAGTGATGATTTAAATCAGTGATTTAAATCAAGATTTATATCAAATAAATTTTTAAAAATTGATTTAAATGAAAATATACTTCTGCCCAAAGCAACATGGAATGCTTCCTTTTACAATACTACACTACAAAACAATCATATGCTATTAAATAAAGAAATCAAAGAGGTATTTATATCCTGAAGTAATGAATTTATAAAAGAAAATTCAAAATTATTATAGCCTGTGTTTAAAATAAAAAGCACAATGAATTTATGCTGGAAAAGCAGTCTCCTTTATAAGTTATTATCCCCCTCTTTTGAAAATTTTCTTGAAACTGAAATTTAAAACTTTTTATTTTTATTTTTTTATTTTTTTATTCTTATTCTTATGACAATAAAATTGGTTCTTTTATGCAACCTGATCTTTAATATCATCAGATACATTCATTTTGTGTGCATCCATGATTTTAAACAAAAATGCTAGTTTTGCTGCTTTTTCTGTCATCAGCCAGTTTCTTAGTTTTGAATGTACTCTACCATAACTTGAAAAAACTCTTTCAACCCCTGATGATGCCATGGCAGACTGTAGTTGTTGTGCATTGCTATCCAACGTATTTGAATGTGACCTCCACCATTCAACAGTTGACATACACTTGGTCACAGAGTCAATCAATTGCATTGAAAGGGAGCTTATTTGGCTTGAAATTTCATAATGACTGGGATGAGTGAAGGAAACTTTTCATTGGCAAAGTCCATTGCATTATTCACTTCTGCACTGAGCAGTTTCCCTTGAAAGGAAGGATGAATCAGGTTTGCAAGAAGATGAGCTTGTGTTGTGACTTGGTCAAACCTCTTTTTTGCAGCAGTTACTGCATTTCTGTCATTGCATGAAGTCGTGATTAATTCTTTCCATATATTCACTGCTTCAGCTATTGTACATTTATCACTGTACTTTGTATAAAGCCACATCTATTGGTTCAAGTTGTGCAAGTAGGTTCTCTGCTGACTACTTCACTGTTAAGTTAGACACCTCTCAAACTCTAACATCAATCTGCTCCTTATTAACTTCACAAATGTTCATGATAGCTGGCCAGTTCTTTATGTATATCCTCAGACAGTTACACATGGTATTCCATCTTGTGTCTTGAGGCTTAATGTTGCCCACCTTCCTGGTAATATCTTGCAAATGCATAGAAGCATATATGTGTGTGTGAATATATGTTTGTGTATATAATATTTATTGATACACATATGTATATATGTATACATTTTTATAAAGGTATTTATCTATAAAACAAATCTTTCTCTCTTTTCTTGTTTAGAAGTAGATTAAGATATGTGTTATCATTGTTTGAATCTTGAAATGTGATTTTTTTTTCTTCCAGAGATAATAGTAATTTGCTAGAGAGTTGATAAGGTCTGCTGATAAGTGAAGTTATCTGATTCTTTTCACCAGAAAAGCTGCAATTCCGTAGCTGATTGCAGCTTTGTAATGTGATTGTTATGGCAGATATTGCATCATTAAAACTTTGATTGATCAGTGTCATTTATTTTCGGGATATCTTTTTTAGGTTAAACATAAATTTCAGTAATAGCAGGAAAATCAATTCTCAAATTAAGTTATGGTCTCTGATGATTTGTTTGATTTCATATTAAAATTTTAGATATATTTTAATTATAATTATAATTCTGCTATTCAATTGCATTAACTTATCTATCCTATTTTAATTTTTATGTTAGGATTTATATAGAGAATTATATGTTTTTCAATTAAACCACTGGCCCTAATCACTTAGGAGAGATATGAATATAAACCCATCGTGAATGTTCAGAATTTGTGCATATGTATTATTAATCATTTATTTTTATATATATGTGTGTGTGTGTGTGTGTGTGTGTGTGTGTGTGTGTGTGTGTGTGTGTGTGTGTGTGTGTGTGTGTGTGTGTGTGTGTGTGTGTGTGTGTGTGTGTGTATACGTTTATTTATTTATTTTTGTTTTTTTTCCTATTATTTTTTTTTTCTCCTGGGAGTGCATGCTTTGAATTCTGATCATTTTCTATTTTTTTGATGCATAATAAAGCCATGCTTGCACACATTTGTGATTGTTAACATGCCAGCAGGGATGGCATGTACATGCATGCCATGCATGCATACACTTGTTTAGCCACTAAGGAGTCAATTGCTAGTCCTACCTATACTTGTTTAACCTTTTCCATGTTTTTTGGAAATAAATGTTTTTTTATTCTATATTGCTCTTCGTATCATAAATAACATTATGATAATCATAATGTAAAGCATCAAATGTTAATAGATTAAAAAAAAAGATGACGACTCAAGGAAAGGTGATATTATGTGGTGTCTTGTAGTTCTAATTGACTCCTGGGTGGCTGAGCACTTATGGCCCTCTGTACGTAGACACATCCCCACAAAACAAAACTACAGCGTACATTACAAGTTTGTGACACCATTGGGTTAAGGACAGGTTTACAGTGACAAATTTTCTTGTGATTTAAATATTGTTGATTGATTTCTAGAGCAATGACAGAAGTAAGTAGCAGTAGCAGCAGTAATAGTCAGAGCAGTAACAATAATGATATTGATAGTGGTAATAGAACTAGAACTGCTGATGTAATGGACCTTCAGAGGCATCAGTAGTAGTAGTAGTTGTAGTAGGTGGCAACTACTAATAGTATGAAAGTAGTGATAACAGTAACGTAGTAGCAACAGTTGTAGTAATCATAACATAGTAATAATAGTATTACCAGTATTGATAAAGCACTGTAAACAACAGGCTAGTAGTAATGACATTGACAATAGTGTAGTAGTAGTTGGATCAGATATATCAACCCCTATCTAAAACAAGCATTTTTCTTTCTCCCAGGCCCACAGATGCAGGAACTGGCACAGTCAACATTCTACTACGAACAGTTCCCAGAGGTGATGGGGATGCTGTGGAAGCGCATGTTGCAGGACAACCGTGCTGCCTGGCGCCGCACCTACAAGTCGCTCTTGCTGCTCAACTACCTCGTGCGCAATGGCTCTGAACGTGTTGTCACTTCTGCCAGGGAGCACATCTATGACCTCAGGACACTTGAGAACTACAAATTTATAGATGAGCTTGGAAAGGATCAGGGCATGAACATCAGGTAAGGGAAGGAAAGCACCATGGTTTTGTGTCATTTTGGCCCTGGAGCTTTATGTGCTTCTGGTGTGAAGCAGTAATAATAGTAGCAAAGTTGCTTGTTGTTGTTGTTGTTGTTGTTGTTGTTGTAGTAGTAGTAGTAGTAGTAGTAGTAGTAGTAGTAGTAGTAGTAGTAGTAGTAGTAGTAGTAGTAGTAGTAGTAGCAAATTTTAGCCCATGTTTTGCAGTGTTTACACCAGGGTTTAACTAGGCATGAATAAGGATGAAAAGGGGGATCCTGCCCATAGCTTCTTAGAAATATTTTAGCCAAATGTGTCCTTTTAACATCTGCTCAAGGTAACTGTCAGCCCATCACTTGAAGTTATTAGGATTATTTCCCCATTTGTCATAATGATTGCTTGGTTTATTTTTATTGAGCCTTTTTAAATAACATTTTGTCAATTATGTCATTTTTTATTATTATCTAGTCTATTATCTATTTTTTATTTATTGATTTAATCTTTTTTTTTTTCTATTTCAATTGTCTGTAATACAACCTGAACCACCAATCACACCAAGCAGGAATAGGATCAAGACCATTGAAATAGTGTCCTTCCTGGAGCCAGCGCTCTTCTAGTCATGGCTCACGGATAGTGCATTCCCTACTCGTTTATCAATGGAATTCAATGAAAAAGCCCCTTCCCAAATACCGACTGAGTCTAAACACCCTCCAAGAACTTTATGTACTCATAGCGAGTCATTCTCATAACCCCAGCCCTGAGCTGAATTATTCCATCACGTCAACTGCCCCTCAAGCCAAATTTTTTCATGGCATGATTGTCATGTCATCCAGATCATAGGGGTTGATATCTAATCTATGTTTTTTTTTTTTTTTTATATCATCCATTTGTTTATATACCTAATTTTTTCTTTAACAGAGTAAAAGCCAAGGACTTGATTGACTTCATCCAGGATGACAACAGGTTACGAGAGGAGCGTAAGAAAGCTAAGAAAAACAAAGACAAGTATGTGGGTGTGTCTTCAGAGTCCATGGGATTCCGCAGCTCATCACAAGGTGAGTGTCTAATCATATATTTTTTTCTGTAGAGAAGATAATACACGAAAATTTCTTGGTAACAATAGATCTCTCAAGGAATCAAGGTTTTGCAACGTGTTTATACCATAATTTGTCTCGCAGGTGACTGGGATGGCTGGGGGAGCAGTAGAAGAAAAGAAGAGGATGATTTTGGATCCCGCTTTGAGGATTCTCCAAATGCAAGGTTAATATTTTTTATTTTTGTTTTTTCTCATTCTCTATTTTCAAAATTATTTTTGTTGATGCCAGAAATTGTGTTGCGTATTCCCCCCCCCCCCTTTTTTTT